GACATTTCAAGCTACAAAAGGTTTCCTCAACATGTTTAAACTTTTTAAGAAATTAAATAGATTCATTGTTAGCGACATGAATGAATATGAATATAGAACAAAAAGTTTCTTTTGTAATCGACTGAAAATCTCAAGATGATATTACAACAACAAAAAATCTCATTCTGGAACATGAACAAACTTCTCAAAAGCTGATTTCTAGGAAGCAATAGATTGAAGTTCGATCTTACTGAAATGTACGCGGAGCCTGTTAAGTCTAATTATGTATGAACTGAGTTTCATCTAATCATTCCATCTCTATCTACATGTACATATAAAGAAACAATAAGATCATTATCTACCATATTATCATTCTCACGATATGTTTTTGTTTTATCTCTCATTGCTTTTTTTTTTGATAAAATTCAATAGTTTTCATGATAAATATTTCTTTAGTTGTATGTGGTTTAATTGATCGTCGAAAGAAAAAACGTTTATTATTTAATGTTAAAGATTCATCATTATTTGATAAAGGTGATATATGTCTTTATGAAGAAGTAGCACGTATGCCACCATTCGCAAGAAAATGTTTAATTTTAATTGGAGCACATAGTGTTGGACGACGTACATTAAAAAATCGTTTAATTGCACTTGATCCAGATCGATTTGGAACAACAAAACCACGTAAATTAAAGAAGAAATAATTTTTCGAAATTTTTAATTCTATATTATTTTCTAGATACATCACGTCCCTTATGTAATAATGATGAAGCAAATGCTTATTATCATATGGATAGAAATGAAATGGAAAATGAAATTGAAGTAGGTGGTTTTCTTGAACATGGTCTATATGGTGAACATTTATATGGAACAAAATTTGATTCTGTTCGACGCGTTATACAATCAGGTAAAATGTGTGTATTAGATATTGAACCAACGGTAAGAATAATAATGTTTTCTCTTGGTGTTTTTTTTTTTTAATTTTTATTTTTAAATAATCTAGGCTTTAAAATTAATTTGTAATAAAGAATATATGCCATATGTGGTATTTATTAAAGCACCGAATATGGATTATCTTCGTTATATGCAGTATAATAATGATAAACAAAAAGCATCAAAAATGAAAACAGTTTGTTTTCTATTTTGTTTTTGTGTTTTATAAAAATGTTCTTGTTTTATAGAAAAGTAATATGACTAATAATTCATCATTGAATTTATCGGTAAATAATTATAAATTATTTAATAAATTAAGATTTTATTCTATTTTTTAATATTTAGTCACAAGGTATTGAACAAGTTGTTTTGGAAAGTGATGCTTTAGAACGTGATTATCATACTTTTTTTGATCTTACACTTGTTGCTGAAGATATTGATAAAACATTTGAACAGTAAGAAAATATACTTAAAAAATTCTTTAGAATTTAAATCGAAATTAATATTAGTTAGTTTATGAAAACAAAAATATACAGATTGTTCTAAAAGTTATGAATACTTAATAAATATAAATAACTGTACTATTGATCAAGTTTAATCAAAAATCTTTTTTTTTTCCTATTTGAAATATAGAGATTAGGAAGTTTGAATTCATAGAGACTAAGTTCATCAACAGTACAGAAAATGTAATATTTTCGGATATAATTTACAAATTAGGTTTTTGTTTTTCGATATTTTTACATGAATTTCTATTGTTATTATGAACTGCGCATTATACAGATTGTTTGTTTGACATATTTTAAAATGCTTGAATTATTGATGTATTTCTTCACAACAAGTCATTCGTAGCTCTTAGAAGATTTCTAATAACTGTAAAAATGAATGCCTTAGGATTATTTAATAATTACCTTTGACATTAGAATTGCGCTCTTGTTTTCTTTTTTTTTGCTAAAAATATATTAAAACAAGAGTTTAGAAAGTTATAGTAGAAGCTTTAATTAACCTGAAGTTCATAATAACCATAAAAATTCGAGTAACTATCGAAAAATTGTCGACACTTCTGATGAATTTAATTTTTATGAATCAAAACTTTCTAGTCTTCTATTATGAATAGAAAAATGTTTTTGATTAAGCTTAATCAGTAGCCAATTTGTCTGTATTTTTCATCGGCATACTCAGGAATTTTCCAAGGAGGGTGCGCATCAATAGAAAAATAAATTTTTTGGTTTAACGAAAATGTTTTTTATTCGTACCTTCCCTTCAAATGTTTTGAATGAAAAGGAGAGTTGCACAGATATTCCTTGCACTCCCCTGGCACGGATCCGTCTAAAATCCATATCAGTACTGTTTCGATTTTTGATCATGGCTTTTGAGACACTCTGTATAAAATCAAATTATTTTCGAAGAATAGTTGTATAAATACTTTTTTTTTTGTAGACTTGTTCGGGCTGTCGAAGCGTTAAGTGCTGAACCTCAATGGGTGAATGTTCAATGGTTTTCTTAAATGATCTTGTTTCATCAATATTCTATGTTATTAATATGATTAATCAAATGAATTTTTTGTTTGCTTTGTTTGTATATATATGAAAAGTACTTATATTCATATAAATTTCATACATTCCACTGTTCTTTTTTTTTCTGTGTTCATTTTGTTGTGACTTTCGTGCAATTTAACATTTATTGCTACCGCCTCTGAATGCTAAATATTCGTTTGTTTCTTTTTTAATCTAATGCTTATTTGCTTTTTTCTACTTGTAATCTCAGTTAAATTTGAATAAATGTATTCCAGTGCTCTTTTTTTTATGGCACCAGTAGAACATATGAAGAGTTTAACTTTTGCAAAGTAAATAGAACAATATTACAATATTGGCTATCTTGAAGTTCAATTTTATAATATGAAAATTTTTATCATTAAAAGATTAAGATTCTTGAATAATTTATAAGGAAACAAGTTATCAATTTTATTTATATTGAGAATTCAGAGTTTTCGTCACAACTAAAATTCTTTTAGTTGTTGTATTTCCTCTTTTGCATATAGTTTATTTTCTGACTTTCAATTAGCGCCGATTGTTTTTTTTTATCAAGGATTAAAATTTATTTACATTCTTTTACGTTCAGTAATTATGAAAGTGAAAGAAGAACAAATCTACGGCAATATTTAATGTTAATTATTGCGGATGGTGATATTATCTTGGTCCACTCAAATGATATCTTTTAGGCGAAACAATAACTTTTTTTTCTCATAGATCTTTGTCATATGGTTCGTTTCTTTCTTGAAATTGTTTGAGCTTAGTTTCTTTTTCTTCTTGTGAAATATTGACTTTTGACACAACTCTCATCTGAAAAGAAACGCACAATGTCATGTTCATTAAATGTTCTTTCTATACAACTTCTTCATGTGTTTCTCGATTTTTCTCCTCTTTACTTGACATGAGTAATATTCTTCTCTTATCATCAGCATTTTGAATCTATCTGCAAAAACGAAATACAATTAGATTTTAAAACACATTCATTTATTTCAAAGTGCTTTGATTACATTATCCAATACAGACTGTATGTCAGTTCGAGTTATATTTCTTTTGATCATTACCCGCGGTGACAATGTGCAGAACTTCCGTTTCTGAATATAAATAGTCTTAGATTAGATCAGAAACACTGCGGATATGAATTTTGAAGGATGAACTATTCAAATTGGCACAAGTCGAGACACTTTGCATGCAGCAATATTATTGATGGCGCACACAAAAACTTCTGACACGTCAACCTAATCTACGTGTTTTGTTTGGTCACACTTTTTGCATCGTCTTTTAATCCTTCGTAATAATTTATTTGTGACATCTACAATATATTCGATATTAATGACACATATCTAAAACATTTTAGCATGCCTACAGACTAGAACCGGCTAACAATCCACATGAATTTCCTTCTAATATATCATTCTTTTTTACTTCAACTAAAAAAATCTGACATTTAGATATAAAGAAGATTGATTTTTACACATAAAGTTCGGAATAACTTTTCTTTTGAGAACGATTACACGATAAACCAAATCGAACTAATGCAAGTTTGCTAATGCTAGTATTTTTATTTGAAATAATTCAATACAGTGTGAAACTAAAAAGTTACCTACTAAATCAATGATAAATTTATTTATTATTTTCGTTTTCTTTAGATAAAAAATGATCATTTCACTTATTTTTAATTATTTAAAATAATTATTTTTATTTAATATATTATTGAAACAAACAATAAATATTTATTTGATTAATTCCTAACGATCTAAAAGGAAATGGGGCTCTTCAGAAATCACATGATCAGTTAGCGGGAACGGCAAGTCTCGAAAATATCACCTAGAAGGAGAGATCAAGTTGACTGATCATATGATCTTTTTTTTTGACATTATTTTTTCCGAGATTTGGCTTACCCCTGAGAAGAGGTAGGAAGTAGAGCCCGTCGGATAGGACCCGGACCTGCACCTGCTTGGATCGGGATCTGAAGAAAGCTTTGATGCATAGAATGTACTGTGAATTTTTTTAAAGTTTTGTTCGTTTTATGAAGAAGAAGAAATCGAATGTATTGAGAAAATAGATAAAAAGTAACAAAACACTTGTTAACTATATTATATTAACTGATTTACCATTGTGTTTGGGTTCAGAAAATTTAAGCGACCGGGTTCGGGTCCAACATTTTCTAAACAAGCGGGTCCGGGTAGAAAAAATTTTGAATAATCGGGTACGGGTTCAAAAATCTTGGATCCGATGGACTCTAGTAGGGAGACCTTCGCAAAGCTACCCTCTCCGTTGGCCTCGATCACGGCCTTTTATGGAGCATGGGAAGATTCCCAAAGCTACTTCCCCTGCTCCTGATCATCACTTTTTATGAAAAATCAGGAAATTTGCAGAAGTCTTTTTTACTGTATGCAAACGAATTGGTTCCTTTTTGTTTTTATTTTAAAGTGAATAATAAGACAGAAGAAGTCCTTTGTTGTTGTTTTTTTTTGTTCTAAACTTTAAGGTAAACCTGACGAGATACACACACAGAAAAAAAAAAAGAAAAATAATTGTCTTTATTGATGTTCTCTTAAATTAAATTAAAAATGGAATAATCGCTTTGCGTTGTTTTGGATATTTATCAGCAAATTCTTTTTTATAAGCTCGATGTTTTTGTTTAGCCCAAATAGTCATTTGTATAGCTCCAGCAAATGTAAATAAAAGTGCTGTTAATGTTTGTGTCATCGATGAAAAAGCTAACCATGAACCAATTTCATATGTATAATTAGGACATGATACCAAATGAAATAAATTTGTTAATGGATTTTTATTTGGATATGGTATACGACGTTGATTTGTACCAGCTGGGCGAAGATCAAGAAGAAGTAAATGAATTGATAAATTACCAATTTCATTTAACTAAATTTTATTTTATTTTTATTTAAATTATTTGAAAATAATATAATTAACTTACTATGAAAATAGCTAAACCTAAATAAATTTGAGCATAACCAAATGATGGTGGAGTATATTTTGGATGATTAACAAAATATGAAACTAATGCAGTAAAACCCCAATAATAACTACAATTCTATTATAGGAAAATCGAACTATTTTTATTTAGATTAGTAGATTAAATAAAATGAATTACTTTAAATAAATTAAATAATGGCATTGTTGAATGCGAAAAACGATGAACAAATAATGTTTCTAAAATACGTTTTGCATAATGAAATTTCCAACAAGCAGCACCCAAACTAAATTATTAATAAAGAAAAAAATTTCATTCGCGTTTTTTTCTTTTAAATAAATTTTAACTAACTGAGCGGCAAAATGCATTGGTTGTAAACCAGCTAATGAACCATAAATAAAACTTGGTCGAATATAAAATAACAAATAAATCAATAATGGACCTGCATATTCAACAATAAATACCTAAACAAATAAACATTTATTTATAGATAAATAAATAAATAAACGAGAATTTTTACAGTGCTCCATCCAATTTGTGGTCCTAAATCTTTAAAATAGATTTTTCCAGTTTTATCAACATTTAATTCAGATAATTTTTGTGTATCTTTCACCGATTTTCCAGCTAAAATAAAATTCATCAATAAAAATCAATCATTGGTGTTTTTTACTTGGTTCAGTTCGATATGATTGACGATCAGGATAAAGTTGTGGTTCTAAAATAAAAATTTTTCTTTCTACTTATATTATTCATTAAAAATTTATTTTGTTGAGCAACTCGTTTTTTTAATTCAGCAATTGTTGTATCTACTGAAATCTTTAAACAAGAAAAAAAAAACCAATTTAACAAAAATTTCAATCTATAGATAATATCTGTACATTATCAATGATTGTCAATACTCCATTGCCACGAGCTTTTACTACTTCAAGCTAAAACAAAATAAGAAGAATTTATTGATTATTAATATTATATAGAATTTTTACTCGAAAATTGTTGCCTTGGTTTTTTGCAGACATTTTCTATTTATTGTATTCTTCTCTAGAACAACGATCAGAATCCAAACAACAAAAGTAAAAGTCTATAAAAAAAAATGACTCCATTATTTGTACTAATTAGAGAAATATTCATTAGCTTTTTTTTATAAAATCTTCTTCAAGAATTTCTATTAAAGTTTTTTGCTAATATTTACTGCTTTGTTCAAAGTTTTAACTTTTTTTTCTCATCATTGAAAAAGATTTCGCTACTACACACTTTATAAAATACATTTTTACATTAAGATCTTACAGAAATCGATTAAGGCATCATTGAGGCCAAATTTCGATCACTCGTATGCTACTAATAATAGTCTTTATATGACTAGTGTGCAAACATGAAGAATTTACCTGTCTACACCCAAGCACGTAGGAAACCAATTTATTGGATTTTGGGAGATATTTTCCTGAGATTGATTCCTCAATCCTGAATGTTATGCAGCACATTAATTGAAGAAATCAATTTTTTTTCAACACTGTGGATGACCAGCTTCTTTTTATCTTATTTAGTTGTCTTTGCTCTATCCGAGATGTTCTTTCTATTACAGTTAGTGTTCATTAGATCTGCATTACAGTTAATGTCAGATCTTTCTATCGATATTAGTTAAGGACTTGTATCAGCAAGATGAGATTTTCAATACATGAAATAAAAATTGAGTTGTTCTCACAAAATAATTACACTTATTTCAACGATATCATTCGTTTGCTTTTCATATCAATTTCAATAAAGAATTATTAAAGATTTTCAAATGAAGTTTCAAAATATTTGTTTTTCATGAGAACAATTCTAAATTGTCTTAGAGATTTGAATATAATGTCAATTTTTTTTCGTTTTGTAACTTTAAGTGGACGAAAACGTTTGTTCGATCAAGTTTTTTATATTTGAATTTTGAAAAGAAATTAGTAAAAACTATCTTATTAGTTTAAGACGAAAATTTATTCATTAATGGACACTTTATTTAAAACATAGGTAATCAAAGAAAATACTATCGCAACGGGATTCTCTTCATCGCTCTGGAAGACAAATACTATTTCGGCAACACGGTTAAAACGAACGTATGTATATCATCGATATTGATCATTTTTGGCAGAGCAATATGTTCGTTTTCAATATTGAAACAAAAAAAAGAACATCCATAGCGTGCATGTGGCTTATCCAGAGAAAAGATTGAAGACAAATTAATAAAATGAAAACTTTGAATGAAATCTCTTCTGTTAATAAGAAGGTTAATAGACGAATAGTCGAAAAAGAAGCATTTAACAGACTCAAATAGAATCTAAATATTATATAATATTATACATTGTCGATCGATATATTTAATAGACTATGGTAGTATCCTTAGTTTCCATGCTGAAATTGATCGTCATGGAACTTAAATAGATTCTTAACCTTTGATTTTATAGTGAAGAATTTCATTTGATAAACCGATTTATTAGATTTTCACCAGTTTTTATTAAGAATTGTTGACTTAGTTATTATTTATAAAAATAATAATCAATAAAAACTTCTATTAAGATTTGTTAAAACCAAAGAAAAAAGAAAAATGTTTTAAATTAAAGAAAATTTTCGTCGTTGCATCGGTTTAAAAATTATCAAATTGATTTCCTAGGAACTTTTCAAACAAACCAAGATAATTTGTTTCATTTAGAGAACAAATTACAAATGTCTTTTGCATTTCAAACTTACATGGCATATTATTATATACACAATATCAACAGAAATTATTGAAGATGACGCTATTCTACATTGATCTATTTAGTGGTGAATAAATTAACAAATCAATAAATGACCAATGGTCACTTCTTATTTCGCTTCTATGAAAACTATTTTTGTCTCGCAGTATTAACATATTAATGTCCATGTGTTTTGTTTAAAAAGTAATTGTTGTGTCAACTGAAAGTGTTATCGGTGTTTTTGCACCTTTAATAAACGAAGCATCACACGAGATAATAAGTACAAGTGATGCTATTGCTAATAATAATCCTACAACAACTTCTCCATCTAGTGCTTTACTAATTGTTTCTTCAGGTGTATTGGAAGTGCATGATGTTGTTGTTGTTTCTTGCTTAAATGGTAAGAAAAAAATATTTATCATATGAATAATATGCAATGATAATTTTCAATAGAATCCTATCGATTAGCACGGGTGTCTGAAATTAGTACTGATGAAATTAAAGTTACATACTTCAGCTGTCCAAAATACAACATCGATATTAAAACAAAAGATGAAATTATTATTCTTGAACAAATCATTTTAGTTTTGGAGAAACTTCCATCAATGAAGGTCAAATGGTATCACGTTCGTGAGAAAGATTTGAATTTGATCCACAAATATTTATTAAAGCGATGAATGCTTGATGGTAAGTATTAAAAAAGGTCTTAGAAGATGTCTATCGTTTAAGCTAAACTTTGTATTTTAGATAAACTGTCCAATGGTGATCCAATTGCTGAAGAACTTATGACTCTAAGAAATGAATTATTAACATTTGGTAAAACTCGATCAGTAAGTATAGCAAATGCCCTAATTAGTTTTACAGTAGTACGTATAAAATGATGCTTACAGCAGTTCAGTTGGCAGTTATCGATCAGAGGATTAGCATGTGAAGCTATTGATGCATCAATTCCTAGAGTATGATATTAAATATGAAATTTTTTTCCTGGTTGAGAATCTAATTATTTGTGTATTTTTTTATATTAGTCATAATCTGTTTTTTTTTTCATTCTATCCGAAGCTGTAGTTGGAATTTATGAAACATAAGACAAATCTTTCAGAATTGGTCTGAAATTGACTGAAAATTCACATTTTTTTATTTTTTTCGACTGAATTTTGTCAAACTCAACTAATTTTCAGACCTATATTTAGTGTCAGATAAGACTTCAGAATAGATTTGGAAAGAGCGTTCAAAACTGAACACAACAGACATGAAGAATTGCTGACAGTTCGAGAGATTTCAATAGTGAAGATATTAAAAGCCCTGATTAGAAATTCAAGGAATTAATGTTTGTTCCAGACTTAAAGGCACTCCATTGTTTTTTGAATAACTCGACAACCGCACTAGCTAACGATCTGCGGTTTCACTAATCGAAAGAGGAGGAGTGGAGACGTCTTTTTCTCGAATGATGTATAAGACGAAATCCTTTTAAGACTAATCTTTTTCGAAGAACATATAAAAGAACCCATGTAAATGACCTGCCAGCTAGATGAAATTTTGATCTTGGCCTTTGATTTAGATAGAGAGAGTTGCGATCTATAGTTCAAGACACAATACGCTTTCTTACTTTTTCCTACATTTTCATCGAAATCTCAAGCCGCTATGATAAAAACTGCGAAAACTTACTAAAAAATCAACAAAATTCCCTATTATTTGCGCATGTATGTAGATGATTCCATTTGCTCAATATTAGAATGTAATAAAAGAACTATTTGCATTGTATCTTGAGCTATAGATTTCAAGTTCCTCTATCTAATGAGAATAATCAAAATCAAAAATTCATTGTATTGACATACCGTTTCCATGCCTTCTCAGGAAAGATTTGCATGAATGGCAGTGTTCAAAATGATTTCATCTTATGGATTATCAGAGTAAAAGATGTTCCCCTGTCTTCTCTTTCGATTGGTGAAAACCGCAGATCGCTAGCTAGTGCGGTTGCCCAGATATTCAAAAAACAATGGAGTGTCTTCAGGTCTGGAACGGGCATTAGTGGGAATTGGTTTATCTCTGCTTACAAAGGGATTGACGGAAACCGCCGGAAAGAAAAACACTGAGAAGGAAAATGTCGAAGACATTTATTTGAATCTTCTCATCTATTATTGTTTCTTGTCAAATCAGCTCACTTTATTAACCTATAGTATCTATCAGAGACCCGAATCGGCTGAGCTAAGCCCAGCCCAGCCCACCCATGGGCCGGATCTTTCTTTGAAAAAAAAACCATGGGTGGACTGGACCAATCCAATTTTTCGATGGATACCCATGGGCTACGAGCTTTGACCCATGGGTTGATGATAGCCCATGAGCCGAATTTTGACTTCGATTAAAAATAAAATTTCTCAGAAAACATCGCCTATTATCACTGTGATATTTCTTTCTTCAGAGAATCTTGTTTAGTTCTATTATTTCACGTTATAATACTTTGTTTTTATTCAACACAATATAATTCTGTCGTTATTTTCTTTCACCAGCAGTTGCATCACCATCAATCACCTTTTTAAAAACCTAATTCTATTCCTGCTGATCTTTTTCAGTTATCAATTTCTATTATCACTTGCCTTTCTACTGATTCCTATCATAGACAAAAACAGTTTGCTTTTGAACGGATCAAACTTCTTCTGAAATAACATCCCTCGACGTACACTGCTATTAAAAATTATAAAATAAAAGAATAAATAGCGATCATAAATAACTTTGACGAACATAGCAGGTTAAACTATTTTGTGAAAAAATGTTTAACTAGATGAGTTACCCATGGGTCGGCTGGGCCGATTTTTCAAAGAATAACCATGGGCTGGGCTGGGCCAATTTTTCAAAGAAAAACCATGAATAGGCTGGGCCAAAGGTCGATAGCCCATGGATCGACTTTCTTCGGCCCAGCCCATCAGGATCTCTTTTATTTATAGTCATTGTGTGGAACAGTATATTCAATAAATCACTATGACTGCAATGTTAGACGCCGCATCTACGATCTTGAACGTCAGGATATGAGGGTGAGGATATAGGTGCGATATCTATCATTACAGTTACACTGAATTGTTGAGTTTATCCTCTTAAAGAATGATTATAGATACTACAGTTTAATAAAATGAGCTGATTTGACAAGAAACAATAATAAATCAGAAGATTCAGGTAATTGTCTTCAGCCTATTTCCTTTCGACATTTTCCTGCTTTTTTTTCGGCATTTTCCTTTTCAGTGTTTTTCTTGGCGGCGTTTTCCACCAAACTCCTTACCAAGACACATGTCCAGTATTAAAATATCTCAGACTTCCAGCGATCCATCATGTCAGCTGTGTTCAGTTTTGAATTTTCTTTCCAAATCTATTCCGAAAGTTTCTCTAATACTAAATAGAAATCTGAAAATTAGTTCGAATTGACAAGAAATTGGTCAAAAAAAATTAAGCCTTTTATGAATTTCATCAACCAATAGAATTTTTTTCATCAACTTTTCGTCATTGTGTGCTCGTCTGACGAGTTCATTTATTTTTCTTCTCTTTGTTTTCTATTGGAAAGTTAAGCTGTATATAAACTTGAGATGACATTGATGAATAAAATTCTTCCTTTTACGTTATAATCGCTTTCCTTATTCTTCTAATATTTATACTCCTCCTGAAAACGTATATTACCTGAATCAATAAAATAAACTGAAAAGTCAATTATTTCTTTTTTTACTAATTTTCATTATTTTTTTTTTATTTTGAAGGAACGTCTAGCATTCATTAAAGATATGGAGCAACTTATTCTCGGTCCTAACATTACAACAGGTGAAGGTTTTCAATTAGCTTTATCATATGCAAAACAAAATACACTCAACATCACATTCGATAAACTTATATCGTCGGTTATTGCTGAAGCTGAAAAAAGAATCAATATGGATCCAACTGCTTCACTTGATAATCTTCCTGTGCTTGTGGCACAAGCGTGTCTTGCCGGTGCCAACATTATCTTTCTCGAAAATGCCATTATTGATGCTCAAACTGAAAATATGAAGAAATTTCTACGAGATGTTATTGGTGAACTAGGTATTTATTTTTTTTTTGTAATAAAATAATATTTAGTTCTTTTATTCTAGTCAAATTGTTTAAACACGATCCTCACGTCGAACATCAATTTATCTTAGAATATTCTGAACTATGTTCTAAGATAATTACCATGCAACTATTATAAAAAACATTATTTTTTTTTGGTTTTTTTTTTTTCTTTGGCTTTTCTAGTCATTTCTTTTTCATGTATTTCGTGATTTTTCATTATTCATTGTAAGATACACTAGTACATCTCGAAAAAAATAAACTCTTCAGTAGAATAAATGTAAGTCTGTCATTTGCAGAAAATATGATCCTAAAACGTGATTTGTTTTCAAAATTTGATTGAAAGTCAAGTTCAGTAGATTATTGATTCAAGCACCTAGCAAATGATATTTCTTGACTGAATTGAATCTCATCTAACGATAAAACAAAACCAATACGATTACAGATGATAAACTCGAAATAAAATCACTTTGTGGAAAATATATTCGGAAGCTGATTAACACATAAGAAGTACAAGATTATTATTAATTGTTATGATTTCAATATTCAATATCTCAGGAAAAATTGAATACAATCGCTTTTCAATATATTTTCCTTGTGTTCAGTGTATTCGTCAATCGGCTATAGCTTCCAATGTTAAAAATGATATTTTACATTGATCATTATCAAAAATCTCTTCTTTTTGAGGACCAAGACGATAACAAAATTGAAATATTAAAACATTATTAATTTTGTAAAATGTAAGCATTATTTAAAGTCAATCCCAGGGCTGCCATATCCTAATTTTCAAATGGGGTACAAGAAATATGAAATGGGGTACAATTGAGGTACAATTTTTTCTACAATGGGGTACATCGGTGAGGTACATCTTTTTCTTTTCAAGAGAGCAGGTTAGTCGAGAAAAACTGTTAAAAGGAACCTCCTCTCTAACAGGCGACATTATTTTGAAATTTTTAATATTACAAATCAATTTTATTATTGACTTTTCACAAAAAATATTTTTATAGTTAACTTATACCATCAAAAACAATGCTATCATAGGAAATAATACAAAATCTTTCATTACGTCATGCTAAATAATCAATTCAATCAGGACAAGTTTCTTTGGGATAGTTAGAGTTTTCTACGCTACGAATACTTTTAAATAAACTTATTGTGTAAATAAAATTATAATATGTTGGTCAAATACGATATAGAAAATAGAAAATAACGAAATGAATCACAATATCTAGAGCTAGGTGTACGACAATTCCACATCAACTAAATGAACTGGCATCAATAATCCAGCTCCCGTTATATACGAGATAGGAGAGTGATCAGTGCTTTTGAACCGAACTGGGTTTATTTCATAACTCAATTTATTCTAGAAGGTAGGTTTTCACAGGTCTTTTTCAGATTACATAGGTTAAACTGCACACATTGAGCCGGATGGTAGTTGAAGAGATCCATAAAGCGATAGAATAAGTTGCTTAAAAATCTAATTTATGGGAATTATCTAACCATTTGATGAAGAAAGAACTGATCAGTGCACAAAATTCATACAAAAAGAAGCGGTCAACACATTGAGTTCGTGAATGTGGTATGCAGCAGTTTTCATGATTCGGTTCTTTCGACTCATACAGCTCAGATTTGTCAGATATCCGTAGCTAACTTTATTTTGATTCGGAAACCGAGAAACCTAAGATAAAACTAATAGGATACAATGCATGCCAATAATCATTAGTCGATCCTTCATGTTAATATCGGCCATTGCAAATAACTCGATAAACAAAACAATAAATTCTTTCGAAAAACATGATTCACTTTGACCAGAGGTCAGTTCATGAAGGCAGAAGCTCAAAAATCCAAATGGGGTACAAAATATGTACCCCAGGGGTACAAATTTTTTGGGGGTACAAAATGCCCAAATGGGGTACATATGGCAGCCATGCGGCAGATACTTTTTACAAAAAATTGCAAAGTTTCATGGATTTTCATCGGATTTAGCTTTAGATGCGTGTAAAACTCAGAGACTAACTGAATCTTGTGCGTTCATGCCATCATTGCCAATTCACTGAATTGCTAATACGAATTTTCGAAAGATTTTTTATAAACTGCGGCAGCGGTGTGGTGAAGGCAACTTTCTTTATAATTGATCGCTTTTCATGGGCAAGATTGTGCAGAACTATATTACCATTCCTATGTATCCCATTCAAATCTTCAACTTTGACAANAAAATATGTACCCCAGGGGTACAAATTTTTTGGGGGTACAAAATGCCCAAATGGGGTACTGTACCCCCAAATGGGGTGCATATGGCAGCCCTGACTGGCACTCGGGCAAAGTTTCGTATAAATTTTTGAGACCAAGGAAAGCGAAGACATCGATGAAATTTTTCCTGAATACTTACTTCATTGGGCTCTACAAGGTGGGCTATAAATTATTTGATTTGGAGATCTCACCTATACTGGTGACTGTGGTCCCCCCCAGCACTTTTATAAAAATTCTTCGTATTTTCAATTTCTGACTCTGTTGCACAACTTTTCTCTCACTTTTGAGGCCTCCAGTGGATAGAACTCGAAAAATTACCCCTATGACGAAAATTTGACGTTGCGTCTAAATTGCTTTCATGACAAAGTACGGAGATAACTGCCTAATTACAAAAAAAAGACCGTTTTCTACCCCGGAATCGCAGCTTTTTATTTGCGACTGACTTTTTTTCGCCGTAAAAAGTTTAGATTCGTGGAGAACACAAAATTCTGAGTTAGAAAAAGTATTCTCCATTCAAGATTCAACAATAATTATTTTCTGGGGGACCCAACAATGAAAAATAGGGTCTAGATTGTGGTCCAGACTAGCTTGAGAACAAAGGAGTTTTGAGAGATCTTATTATGATATTTGTAATCAGCACACTTTAGCGTACAGGCACATATAGTTTTGATCGATGAAAAGAGAAATTTCTTTTTCGACGATCCCTGGGGGGGACCCCAGGGACCAAAATTGACGAAGTCATTTTTTTGCAAAATAAAGTTGAAAAAAATAATCAGGACTCACCCCCTATTGAAACCTAATAGATATAAATCAGTTCTAAAGAAGCTGAAAAATTCGGCCTTATCCGCCCTCCTCCTTTCTTGGATCGCTTTCTTATAATGCTAAAAATTCAGATCTTTAACGCTTAATATTAATCATGAAAGAGAAGATGCATTGACTAGTGTACTGAACTCTGCCGAATATTTTATCAGTTGGAACATTAGTATCTGTTATTTTCCTATGTTGAACAGAAAGATATAATGTGTACTAGCAGGTACGTTAGAGCATATTCGATATGTTGAGATAATGTTTACTACTTGTTGACTTGATCTGTTGCATAGAATTGACCTAGTCGATTAGCTGATTCGAGAACTATATGTGGTGACCAGACTATGCGTTGAGAATATAATACTACATCTCAGGATGGGTAACATAGAAAAGAGCACAGGACTGATAGAATAGGAAAACAGTGAAATCAAGAATTTTTAAGTTTTTTTCAAACTTTTAATAATAAATTAGACACATTTTTCTAACTTTATTCGAACATTTTCTTCATAAATGAACTTTGCTAAGTTTTGAATGGTATTTATCTCAATATATGATTTGTATAGACTATTCCATCAAAGTTGGATGACAAATTTTTTTATTATCAATGCCTGATATATTGAAGTTGAAGATGTCAAAGAGTTCATAGTTTTTCGAAATGAGAAATATTGTATTGATTTAGACTAGTAAAATAAAATAAATAGTTTGTTGCATTTAGTGTTCTCTGTCATACTTTTGTCATTAATTTATGCTATTTTTATTTTTCCAGTTATTAAGAATGACATGTATTTTCGTGGCGTTTTTTATTAATAGAATGAGTAAAGGAAATAGAATCATATGCATGAACGACTTGTCCTCTAAGTACAATATCTTTGACAATTTCTATGAAAAGATTAATTTCCAGGTATTATCAATGATCATTATTAGATGTATTCCGACTAGCTTATAACTTTTCTTTTGATCTTTAAGCTAATTTCTTATATATCTATGCTTGTTTTTTTTTTAAATAAATATTGAATCGAAGGCATTAACAAAGTTCAATTGATTTAGCGAGCATTTAACTTATTATTAAATGATCGAACATGTTACAAATACTGAATTAATAAAACTTACATTCATAATTAGTATCTTTGATCGTTTTTTATTTAGATATCCATTGTAATTGTATATTGAGTAGTATTGTTAGGATAGATAAAAAAAAATTTTTATATTATAGACATCATCTGATTGATGTTATATCGTTTTTATCATGCTTATATGAATAATTACACGAAGACTCATAAATACAACAAAGAAAAAGACAGAAAAAGCGCTTGGATTTTTTTTCTCTTTCATTTTTTATTTCGTAATATACATATGAATAGTTTATGGATTTGTAATCAGCCAGATTTATTTTCATTTGATCATTATTATGAATATAACACATTCGACAAGAATTCTAAGATCAATAATACAACAATCGATCGTTCTGAATGTTCATCATATATACATTTTGGTAATACATCTTATACATTAGGTTTTGGTCATTTATTTTCAGGTAATTTACAATTGTATCAATTATATAATCCATGTCATCAATGTTATGAATCATATTCATTTGAAATACCTCAATGCTATTCTAATACATTACAAATAGATAAAATTCAATCACAACAAGATTCTATCATTAATAATAAAATTAATGAAGCTATGGAAACTATTCGAAAGAAGATAAAAAAATGTTGAAAAACAATATGATTATTCAATATCATCAAAACCTTATCAATCTGATCAAATAATGAATAATTTTAATTAGAACAATATTACTAAAGCAGCTAGACTACTTGAACGAGCAGCTAATGCAATGTCTATTGCTGCTAATAAATAAAAATGAATTTCGATTATAAAGATCTTAGATCAAATAAATATTAATTTTCTTTTTTCCAACATTGAATAAAATAAAGATTTCTAAACTAATCAAATTATATACAAAATCAATCACTAAATATTTCTAAAAAAGATTCCGACAATGATGATCTTTGTAGAATAAGAACTTTTTATATAAATATATTACTTTTTCTAAAAGAGATTGAATAATTTCTTGTTGCTTACTATAATTTAGAATTTGTTTGAAACATGCCACAAAATTTTATCGAATGAATTGAAAGATACCGAAAATTATTTTTAACAAAATGATAAATTTTTTGAAAACTTTTGAGATACAGTAAAGACTTTTATATAAAGTCTATTGCAAACATGGCTATTGTCGTCGTTTCAGCACAAAATGTTCGTCCATCACAACCTTGCCATTTTTAGCGAGTTAACCGAAACTTTCAACTTCTGTGTCATTCTTGTAAAGTCGAGATCATCCTCAAATACTATTTATTGACAGAACTTATTACATATATACAAGAAGCAGACTTGTTTTCAGAAAAAAAAAAGATTTTCGTCGCCCAAGAAAATTGTTCTGAGTCCTATTAAGATTTACTTACAGTTCAATAGTCAAAAGTCACGAAAAAAGTCTAAGCATATAATCTGAAAGAGTACAAATTTCTAATTCTAATAGTAGATTCTCTATCAATATAACCGATTTAGACTATCAACTCGAATAATGAAAAATGTTCTCATGAAAATATTTGATTTTAAAATATGTCTAGAACAAGATTCTTCTATTTTTCAAGCGCAGGTATTTGTTTTCCTGACATCAAAATTATTCTATATACAGAAATCTAAAACGAGAATAGTGGAAACTTATTAAGCTACTCTATTTTTTGTAGACTTTAATGAACTTTCTAATGATATATTTGGAAATTACTTTTTCAAAAAATATTGATGATCATTTTCCATTCCTATCGTAGCATTAAGGTTGTTTGATAGAATAATTTTTTTTCTTGAATAGTGCACATCATAGAAGTCATCATTTTTCATCGGAAAACATGCTCAATAGATATATCTTGCTGTGCTGGTTCGAGGGTTATGCATATGAAATAATTTTGATGCCAGAAAAATGAACGCTGATACCTGAAAAAAAAACAGAAGAATCTTATTCTGACCATATTGAGACATCAGACATTTTCATGAGAACAATTCTTATAATTCAGGATGACAGTCGAATTCAATTATATTACCAGAGAATCTAGTATAGAGTAAGAATTATCTACTGCTAAAAAAAGAAAAAAAATTATCTTTTATATCTGCTTCGCAAATGAAAAAATACGCAAAAACCTTGTACGTGTCAGGATACTTTTTTGTTGTGATTATAAAATATTCTACTAACAAAGCTATTAATGATAGAAGTTTTGTTTCACTACAATTTTTCTTTGATCAAATTTTAATTTATTTAGTTCGAAATAATTAAGAAATACAGATTTATGAAGTTGCAAAGAATTATTTTTGTTAATCGAGTTACTTCTAAGTCTTTTCAAACTCATTCTAAAATAGAATATGTGTAATAAAAATTTTTTAGTGCCAATATTGCTCTTTACAACAGAAAAAAGTCAATAACAAATATGATCTAGTAATATTTGACATCTTTTTAAAGACTTTTGTATTGTATACTAATTGCTTTTATTTGATAAAAAAAAATAAAATTATTCTTTTCTTTCATGAATACTTTAACATCATAGTACGTCTCAATTGAGTCAGAGAGATTAATCTATATAGAAAAACAGCAACAAAAATTAGAATCTATTTTTAAATATAGTCTGACGTCAATTGGATTAATTAAAAACCTATTACACTATGTTTTAAACCTATATGAAAAGAAAATGATTTTTACTAGATTAAATAAAGCTATTCTTCTCATAGACAGTTAAAAATTTAAATGCTAGTACAGCATATGATTTTTCTATTCAAAAAGAAAAAAAAATACGATTAAAACATTTTCAACTGTCCCAAGCTGAGCGTGCTGTAAATAATTGATGAGATTGATTTGAGTTATCATTTACAATTGGCATTGGCATTGTTGTCCATGATGTTAGTGGTGTATTATCATTATCAAGTGTTGTTTTGTCACTTGCTTCAGATGATAGATCACGTAATGATCGTCGATGATCATTTCCACTAATACTAACATTGCCATCACTACCTATATTACTAACAAGAAAATTCTTAGGAAATGTTTTTCGATCTAATTGTTTTAAATAATCTTGAAAACGTTTTTCCATTGTTGGATATTGTTGATGTTTCTTTGGTAATATAGGAAATAAACGATGTACTGCATGCATTGCTTCAGTTAATGTTAACTGTTCATCACTTAACATTAGATATTGAATAGCAATAATTGCAAGTGGTGAATTCGGTGTTAATTCAAAACCATATATAAGTATTCGTTTTTCTTCTTGTTGTGCTTTTAATATAAAACGATTAACAGCTGAAAATAGTTGTCCTAATTGTGTACGATTTAATTCACGAATTTTACTGTTACTTAAATGATTTGCATCAGTTGCTGTTGGATGTGTTACATATGATTGATCAAATTCAAGTGTTAACGTACAACGTGAATGTGTATGACCACATTGGCATGGAAGACGAGCTCCAACATTTGCTTTACGTGCTAATTCATCGGGTCTCATATTAGTTGCATCAATAAGATAATCAATAGATAATTTGCATAATTGTCTTTCATTTTGTAAAGCACGTATTGAACCCAATAAAATATCATCTGTAAGAAAAACAATTGGAATTGTTGGTGATGCTGGATTGCTCATAGGTAATGTTTGTTTAGCTAAAGATTGTGAACGTCTTTGAATATCACGTCGTAATTGTGGACGAAAATCTGTTCCTAAAAAAGCTTAATATGTTAAGAAACAAACTTTTTTTGTTGTTTTTTTTTTAATTTACCAAGGCATTCAGAAGTTGTTGTAAATACAGGTGGTGCTGGTTGAGGAGTAAATGTTGATAATATAGGTGATTGTGAAGATGATTTGGAACGTATCGTTGTTGGAGATATTGATGGACATGATGGATTTCGTCGTTGAACAGATGATACTAAAGTTTGAGCTGAATCAAGATCCCATTCATTATCGGATGCTGATGATTTAGCTGGTAATGAAATAGCTGTTGTTGGTCGACTTAATGGTATACGCATTGAATTAGCATCTGTACTTAAACGATTTGGACGTTTTTGATGAAGAGAATTTCTATGACGATTTGTTCCTATTGTTGATGTATGTCGACCACCTGTTGCTGATACTGTATGATAATTAAGACGATCATTTAAATTTTGCTTTCTTCGTTGTTGTTTTAATTCATTATCATCGTCATCAGATGAAGATGTTGTTGATACATCTTGAACATTTAAATCACTTGTTGATGCGCTTTCAATGCGCACTGTTACTGTTGATGGATCAGCCACTGTTGATGATACCGAACTAAATAAATATAAAATGATCTTTTTGCGTTTTTTTTCTCTATCTGGCAGATTAAAATATACTGTGACGTCTTTGTTCTTGGTTTTTTTAAACTCACCTTGAGGAACGATGAATCACGCTGTGCATAATTTTTAACTTGAGATCGTTTTTCTTAGAAATGTAACAGAAGTAAAAAAAGAAAAACGAGATCGACGCATTCGTCTTAAGCAGTTAAAATGATTAACAATACAACATTGATGACGTGAATACGAATACTCAAGAATGACGTTTGTAGTTAATGCGTTAGATTTTCTGGAAGGATAGAAAAAGAAAAAGAAGAAGTATTCTAGCAGAAAATGAAATCAGAATTGTCGTACAAAGACGAGTTTTTTTTTACAAAAAAAAAAAACAAAACGAAGAAAAAAAGAAGAAAAAGGGAAAGGACTTCCTTCTTTCTATTTTTCTATCTTTGACGCTTCTCTATATGTAGTATATGTGTGTGCAACACAATTCATCATATTACCTTGAGCTGTTGCTTTTCATCGACGTAGTTCATCGTGTCTTTCTCGCTTTTTTTCCTTTTCTTTTTCACTTCCTGATGTGCATGTTGGTTTGTCAGTTAGAATTGCGCGTCACTCGAGGATGACAATACTACGCAAAAATATATTCTTTCCATAGTAACATAAATGCACAAAACTTTGATGAATGCAGTATGGCATAAGATTATTATCACTTTTCTTTGTTAATAACAAGAAAAAAATATGTTAATGAATGAACAACTTCATAGATAAATAAATATTCTTTTCCATATATATATTTAGTTAATACTTGTTACTTTTTTAATATAATATCAATATATTATTATTAATATTATTCAAATAGAAAATGGTTTATTAGATAACAATTAGAACGAACTATATAAAAATAGAAATAAATCATTAGTATTTCTTGCATTCGTTTTGTTCTTCTATGTTGCAATTATTTATAAGTGGTTATTCACTTGGGCTTAAAATATCTGTTAGTTCAATGCATAAAAATATGAATAGATAATGCCTTGAAAATTTCCTAATTATATTAGATAATTTTTCTTTTTATGTCATTGAAGATGCATTTGTTTTTTACTTATAGCTAACATGCTTTTAAATAAATAGGAAATGATTCTTAAACTATTTTGTCCTTCATTAAAATACTGTCATTATTAATTTTAGCAAGCAAGGAGACAAAACAAAGAAAAAAAAAAGAAAACTTATACTAATTAGTTTATCAAAAAAGATAAAGTAATTATAATTCAAATTGATTGAAATTTAAGTAACTTTTGAATTCAATTTATTCATTTTAAAATATTGATTAGAAGTTTATTCTTTAATCAATTAACATTAAACATTTTATTGTAAT